GCATTGCACTTAGTTTGCAAAGCACATCCAAGTGCTTGACTTGTTCGCTGATTCTCAGTGCACTAGTGTTCCCCTTAAAGACCGAGTTGCCCTTAATCTATACCCCTAGATGGTAGCAGATCCTGCTTTTCTGATTCCAAGAACCTTTCCCAAAACACACCCCTCTCCTGTGCACAGGTGTGAAAGTATGTTCCAGAAAGGCCCTTCCCCCACCTCCAATGAAACACCGCTGGGATTAGCTCTGGCCCAAGTGCCTTCTCAACAGCAGAGCACAAAGTTTGTGCCTTGACCTAGTGGTTCTTGGCTTTGGAGCAAGAGAACCAAATCTTTTTCTTTTGGGAGGATGGGATGCAGTGGCAGAGAGGGGAAAAACACTTCTGTTGGAAATTCAGCAAACCATGATGAGAGCTGCAGCACTGTAGACAATGGGAAGAGAGTGACTTTCCAAAGATTTGTCCTGACGAAGCCAGGAAGGGTGAATACATTGTTCTCTCCAACACCATGATGTCAGCAAATACATCATATTTGCAATTTCTTTCCAGCTTGCTGAGCTGATCTCTGGTTAAAAATGGAGCCCCCCCTCCCCCACCACCCGCCCGCCGTGGACCCCGCAGTGGTCTGATAGTTTCTGAAGCATGGAGATGACATTACAGGTTTAGGCTGCGTTCAGTACAAGTTCCTGCCGAGTGTGTGCCTGGAAACTGTCATAAAATGTATTTACCATTATGTATATTGGGTTTTCTTAGGGAGCAAATGGAGACAACATTACTGGGCATCCATTAAGTCCAGATTTACCCAGCAGTACATCATGAATGTCAAAAACAAAATAATGGGAACCCTTTGAAATAGCAAAATGATGTTTCCTTTCCTGACAAATGTGTATAAGGGTGCTGTGTCTGTTGGTTAAACAAATGGCCCTAATGTCCAGGTTAACATAATAGTGAGAGATGTGAAATCCAACATTCACAAGAAAACTGAATGCCACAGACACAATGAGGAATGCTTGGTTGGACAGCAGTTTACATAAAAAAACAATAAGGACTTGGGTTGGTAGATGGGCAGTTCTGGTCAGCCACCAGGCTCTAGGAGGCCCTAGTAAGTTAGCTTTTCCGTGGTCATGTCCGGTATAATTGGAGGTACACATGTGTCATGAAGCTGCAATTCCAATTCCTGGCAACATAGACCCTAAATTCAGGGACCACTTACATGTGCTTGAGAATGTGCAAGCACCCTGTGTGACAGTAAATGTCACAAACTCGGAAGTGAATACATACCTGGAGGAGTGTTCATACAATGAATGAAAGCTACATAAATAAATTTACATGATGGTGAGTAAAAAAAAAAGCAAGTTACAAAAAGCATATGGACAGTACTGTACCATTTCTATACATTTTTAAAATCATAAATATAGCGAAAGCATAAAAACATGGCTCGGAGAAATTTTTATCAACCTCAAGGGAGAGGGCTTCTGTTGTATTGGAGTATTTTATTTCATTTTTTTATTTAAAAAGCATGAAACTTAAATACAGCAAAAATGTTAACCTCTGTTATATGTGACTAAATGGGTTCATGGGTACGTGTTGTGGTGTTTTCCAAATTTTTACTGTGTGGTTGAAACATTTCATAAGTTTAAAAGGAAAGCATTTTAAACACATAAGCTTGGTTAACTAAAGTTTAAATAGTTTTAGTTGCCTCAAAATTCATTTTTAAATGTATATTATAAAAATAATATATTCTATTAAATAAATTCAGAAAATTAGAAAAAATTAATTACTGAGAATGTCCTCACCCAAAAGCAGTTATTGTTAATGTTTTCATGTATTTTCTCCTGTGTGTGAGGGAGGGAGGAAGAGAGAGAGAGAGAGAGAGAGAGAGAGAGAGAGAGAGAGAGAGAGAGTATGTTTAAACACAGCTCTAAACATCTTGGATGCACATTGAATTCTGCCATTTTCACTCATTATAACATCACCCTTTTTCTGTGTTATGACTTAGCCTCTGTGAACATCATTTCTATTGGCTTCCGTTAAAGATGTTCCACAGCTTGCTTAACCAACACGTTTTTTGCATAAAAGCAGTTGTGAACATTCAACAGTCATGTATCCATAAACATAATCCCCTTTGAAAGCCTGAGGAACAGGACTGGGTCATGCTCGGCTGTTGATTTCTGAGGGACTGTCTTGTGGGACATGACACTAAAAAAGTCTGTCACACCTGTGATATCGCATTCCCATGAAGCCTGAGCTTGTCGGCGTTCACCCTGTGGGTGGGAACTGTACGTATTTTGAAAGCCAGCTCTGTGTGTCTCTTGCTGGAGAGGAAGCAAGTGCTCGAACCTGCAGCTGGGGGCGTGTTTGCTGATCCCCTTAAACTCTTGTTTTGAGGCCTGGGGTAACAGCAGAAATAATTATTCCAGGTATTTTTGCGCCCCTTCCCAGCTTTAGATGCACTCGTTTCCACTGCCATCTGACCCTCTCTGGGCCCCTGAGAGGTGAGGTGCAGGCACACAGCTGCCCCTGTATTACAACAGTAAGTAGGAAAGGCAGGACCATCATCCGATGTTCCTGCCTCCTTCCAGAACCCTTTCAGTTACCATCTGAGACCCAGGCAAGAGGGACGATGTCTGCCCAGAGCCCAGTAATCCCACTCCTAGTCCGCACTCAGAGTCCCTGGAATTCTCTGACAAATGACCTGAACACTTCCAGGGTCTACACAAGCCTGACTCTGTCCTCCTGGGGGCCAGACCGCCAGTGTGTACATACCTAGACCCAAGGGCAGCATTTTGCAGGGGGTGTATCCAGGGTCAGGAGATGTGAGCTGGAGGCAGGTGCAGAGACTGAAGACCTATGTCCCCTACAGTGTAGCTCAAAACTGCAAAGACTCCAAGGATTCTAAATTCAAGCCTGGCTTTCTTGGTCATTATGACGATACTATTTGTCAGAGGAGGAGGATAGACTATATTCTGTGTAATAGTTTGTAGCTTGATCTGTAACTTTTAACTATTTAGGGATTCAGCACGAGGACCTCCTTTTCTACTCTTGTTCTAGGACCCACAGATGTTAAGAACAGTCTTGGCTCTATTTTCACACTGCTGTTTCCAGGTTCCCTTTTTTTCTATCCAAGGCTACAGACATATTGAGGGCGGGGGTGTGCAAAAGAAAGCAGTCTAGAACCACAGAAAAATAAAACAATTTAGTGTGTAAAATCCCCATATATCAGACACCCCCGTGTCCACGTGTAAAAGCAAGAAATGCATCTCAGGACAAAATATGTAGCGTACCACCACCTGCTATGAAGATGAATCAGCCTGGCACGATCCAGCCAAAATCAGAAATAGAAGGCAGCTCGTAAAGCGACGATCTGCTGCTCTTCCGGCTTCCTCCCTTTCTCCACCGCCCCCCATGTCTTCTCCTTGTGTATTGCAGAACTGCCACCCTCTGTTGATCACTTTAAGCTATGCAAGAAATCAGACCCCAGGGTTCCCCATGACAACATGGGGAGTAGTCTCAGTGGCCCAGCCAGGGTCAGCATGGAAAACCAATGTTGCCAGAGTTTTCATTTTCATAGTTGCTTGGCCACTGAACTCATTGTTTTTTGGTTCTTATGCCCCAGCAACATTTCTGAATTGCAATCAAGGATTTCACTGAATGGAGAAGCAAGAAATCAGTAAGACAATTTCATTGTGCTGTTTTTCTCCCCTACAAAAAAACAGATAATACAGCTAAGTTCTGAATAATTAAACACACACGTTAGGACAAGACTTTCTGAAGTCCATTCTATTCTAGAAGTGATATTTCACTTGACTTGCACAACTACCCAGCACAGGAAGCTATTTTCATTGCGTAGGTAAAGAACCTGCATCTCAGAGAGGTTAAGTAACCTGGCTGAGGTGATCCAGCTGGGAGGTGGCATAGTGGGGACTGGAACTTGGGGCTGATTCCAAATCACTGTGAGGACCCAAATAGAAGGACAGGTTTTTGTCCACACTTTTAAACTCACCAGAAAAAAAGAGAATCACCTTCTATCAGAGCTCTCATAAAGTCTCTCATATTATGGGGTCCTGTCTGAATTATTTTAATTAAGTTTTGTTTGGACACAACACATTAGCCTGGAACGGCCTTCATTTGGTGCTGGTTTTGGAAGCTCGTGGAGGTCGCTAGCTTTTAAAACCAATTTTTAAATTTGTTGTAAAAAAGTTTGTACTGAGGGGAGGAGGGGATCTTTAATACAGATTTGGTCATTATTTCTGGGTGTATGCTTTATGATTGCTAGTGAGGCTTTTTAAAGATTTCTTTTTAAGTGGTATCTTGTAAAGATTGTGAATAGGATAATTTTCACTGATAAATCACACAGGGAGCTAAAAAGTGCTCGCTCTCAAACAAGATAGATGAAAATCAAGTTCATGGGCTTGGAAAAACTGAAGGCAAAGACCTTGATGGTGAAGATGCGTCTGGAAACTTTGAATAGGATTGTTTCACGAAATGTGAGAGGCTAAAACAACGATATATCCACATTAGCATTTTATGTATTATAGTTTAAATATATGTGTGTAACTACATTATTACATATTAAAAACAGACATTTGATCGTCATTTGTATTATATCATGTCATACCATACACAGATATTTGATTGTGTCATCTGTATACCCAAGTTGGCCAAAAATTGTTTAAGGGGGTCTTCTCTCATTGGGAAATAGGGGTTGGCCTTGAGGCTTGGGTAACACACGAGGTGGTTTTTCCAAAGCACAGAGCTGCAACCCAAGACGAGGAGGAAGCAGGTCTGTGTGCTGGGTCCATAGTAATGATGGATGCACACTGGCTCCTGCGCCTCCACACAGCTCCTCACAGTTTCCCAAACGTTGCTGCATTTGGGCCTCACGGCCTCTTGTGAGGTAGGGTCTATGGTTGTCCTGAATGTCCCCCCAAGGACCCCGTGTCTCCCTATGCCAGAGACTTGGGTGCAGGAAGAGACGTGACGAGACTGCTTTTCCCTCTCCCTCAGGCAGCACTAGTTGGAGGTACCACCATGATCATCGGCCACGTCCTACCTGACAAGGAAACCTCCCTCGTGGATGCGTACGAGAAGTGCCGGGGTCTGGCTGACCCCAAGGTCTGCTGTGACTATGCCCTCCACGTGGGGATCACCTGGTGGGCACCCAAGGTAACAGTGGAATCCTAAAAGAACAAGTGCTCTTTTAGGCAGAGAGGCCACTTGGTGGGAGCCAACTGTGATGTGTTCTCCCACAGGGGTGGGACACCCCTTCCACCACCACCATCCTAATTCCCCCAAGTGCCAAAGAAAAAACACTGTGATTCCATAAGGGGGCGGGGGGACCTGTTCTGCTTAATTTAAAGAGCCAGTTTTCCAGCAGACACAGTGTCTAAGAGAGGAGGCCTCAGGAGTGCTGACTCCTTGCTTTGACCCCAAGGCTTTCAGCATCTCCTGATTCTTAACACGAGGTGCCTCTGACACCTACGAGGACGCTGCTGAGTAATGGGCTCTGCAAGGGTCGGGCTTCAAGGGCCGAGGGTCATATGGTTTTTTTGTGCTGCGAGTGACAGCACTGAGCGGAGGTCTCAGAGGGGCTTATGAGGTCTCAGAGGCTCAGTGCTGTCTGGGATGAAAGGATGGGGGCACTTCTTTCTTACTGGCGCGCCTGCTCTGATGGCCCTGAGGCTGTTCCTGGTGTGTGGCTGAGGCTGGCTCCCGCTGGGCCCTTTTTCAGTTGAGCCTGTGCCCCAGGCCCTGGGTTTCCTGTCCTCCAGCTGCCCCAGGCCCCAGGGCCAGAGTGCAGCCCGCTCTCCCTGCATTTCCACTTCTTGCTCTTCCTGAAAACAGGTATACAGGTATGTGGATTTTGCTTTGTTTCTGGAGTTTTCCTGCTTAGTACTCCAGGGAAGCAACTTGGATAATCGTTCTTCCATCAATTATTTAATGATCACTCTGTGTCAGTACTTGAGTGGGTGCCCCAGAGTCATAAAAATAAATAAGCATTAAGAAGTTTTACGGCTGGCCAGTTAGCTCAGGTGGTTAGAGCACGTGTTCATAGCACCAAGGCTGCTGGTTCGATTCCCACATGGGCCAGTGAGCTGCGCCCTCCACAACTAGATGGACAACTATGACTTGACTTGGAGCTGATGGGTCCTGGAAAAACACACTGTTCCCCAATAAAAGTTTTTTTTTAAAAAAAGTTTTATGAAGTTCTTCAGCTGTGGACCCTGGTCTAAAAGGCCTAACACCCTTCTGAGATGGTCATTAAAAGCCTCGCTGTATTTCTGACCTTGGGTTTTAGCCTTGAGTGTGGGGCTCACCGGGTCTCTTCCGTTATTTCCAACCTGGTGCTTATGAAATACTTTGGACCCCACCACCACCACCACCACCAAGTCTCACCATGAAGATCACCCTCCGAGTTCTGGGCTAAGAGTGCAGACCACACTGAATGTCAGCCATTCCTGATCTTATATGGTTTTTTTGTCCATTTCAGACACTCTCCTGAGTGGTTGAACCCTATGCCCAAGCCTTTTTCCATTCCGCCTCCCAGAGTTGGCCTGGATTAGAGGGCCCAGTCAGATTCTCAGCAATGCTGAGGTCAGGCCAGCCATCTCTAAGTCCATCTCTAAGTCCATCTCTAAGTCCTCAGAGGTTGTGGGGACTTGCACACACCTATAATTTTAAATTCATGTTCTAGTAATCAAATAATTCTTTTTCTAACTACAGATTTTAAAAAATAGAAGAGAAAGGAAACCCATAATCTGGTCACCCCCCGCAACACAATCACTATTGTTATTTTAGCTTATTTCCTTCCAGTCTTTTTTCATACATGATTTTTATATAGTAACACTTTTGCTTAAGTGTGAGTAGTCTCTATTTGGCCGCATGGTCTTCATGACCATCAGCGCAATAGCCATCTAACATCCTGTCAGGTAGATGAACTTCAATTTATTTTCTTATTGTCAGACCAATGTTGCTCCCACTTTTTCCTAATATAAATAATGTTGGGATGAATCTCCTTATTGACATAGCTTCGTTCATATCTGCTTTGTTCTTAAATTAGATTTTCCCCAGTTTCTCTGGATTTTTGGCATTATTGTGTCTTCTTTGGGACACCACTTCCATTATGGGGTCAGGAAACAGGCCATAGGAATAAAAGTCATTAATGCATTTACCTCTAAGGCTGATTTGGAGCCAGAAACACAGGACAAACCTATGTGATAGAGGAAACATGTCTAGAAGGTAATGATATAGTGTCTACATTTGTGTCATATTGTTTTCAAAGCACTTCTTCATCCATTTGCTCACTGGACTCTACAGCAGGCTATGGGCTGGGAAGAAAATGAGCTATTTCTAGGTCGTGGGTGGTCATATGATGACTCCCCCGACTGAACCACACCTTCTCCATGAGGGGCCAGCATCTGCTGGTCAGCCTCTTGGGCACCTGTACTCACATAGCATTGCCTTTGCTCTCCAGGTGAAAGCAGAGATGGAGACTCTGGTGAGAGAGAAGGGTGTCAACTCGTTCCAGATGTTCATGACCTACAAGGACTTGTATATGCTTCGGGACAGTGAGCTGTACCAAGTGCTGCACGCTTGCAAAGACATCGGGGCAATCGCCCGAGTCCATGCTGAAAATGGGGAGCTCGTGGCAGAGGCAAGGCAGTAGGGAATGTTGGGGAAAAGGACCCCAGGGCCCCAGTGGAAAGTTCTCGGGGGATTCATGACCACCCATTACCTAGCCTACAAGGTTCAGACAAAACAAGTTGTAAAAACAAGTGCAAGATGGGGCTGGCCAAGTGGCTCAGTTGGTTAAGAGTTGGCTTAAGAGCATGAGCTCTGAGCAACAGTGCCGCTGGCTCGATTCCCACGTGGGATGGTGGCTACGCCCACCCTCAACTAAGATTGAACACAGCACCTTGAGTTTAGAGGCCACGAGCTGCCGATGGACAGCCAGATGGTGACTGGCACCCTTCACAATGAAGATTGAAGAACAACAACTGGCTGGTCCCCTTCCCCAATTCCCCAACACTGTTCCCCTCCCCCAAAACCCCAATGAAATCTTATTAAAAAAAAAAAAACAAGTGCAAGATGTTAACACCCCAGATGACATCTTTGGCAAATATTTGGCAGAAAATCCAAACCCTTCTACTATCTGTAAAAAACAAATCTCTCTAGTTCAAAAGGGTTTCTAAGTCTTAGATGATGATGTCTTGATTCTAATAGTATGATATTTAAATTCCATTACAGCAAAGGGGTTTGGAGCACCCTTACAAAATATTTTAATGAGATTTCCAGCAGGGAAATTATGACTTTCAGAACAATAAAAAGTGCGTGTCTTTGGTGTCCCAGACCTGTTTGCTAGTTACAGAACTGTATTTTTAAGAGGAAAAGATATTTTCAATTATTATGAAGTGAAACTGAGAAAAGCCTTCCTGAAAGGGAGCGCTGCACTCATGCTGCCCTCTTTAGAAGATGAATATTACCGAAGTGAAGAAAGTAGCAAGCCTACTGGAATGGGCCATGTCTAGCATATTTTACTGTCCCTTGGGTTTGGTTTTTTTGTTTGTTTGTTTTTTGTATCTCTGATTCTCTGAATTTTCTTTCTTTTGCTATTATTCAGGGTGCTAAGGAGGCGCTAGATTTGGGTATCACAGGTCCAGAAGGAATAGAGATCAGCCGTCCAGAGGAGGTGAGGAAGACTTCCTGTGTGTCCTTTGTCAACTGCTTTCCTATAGATTCACAGACTCTTTAGGATAGAAGAGACATCAGTAAATATAAATTGTATATTATCACTTTCTCCACGGGTGAAATTCCCATCTGGAAACTTTCCAGGAATCAGCTTCCTCCATACTGAGGCTGACTTGGCCTTGAGCGTCCCTGAGAAAGGCAGTTTGGGGGAAACCAGACCCACCTCATTTGAGTCTGATTTCAAGGATCTGAGGGAGACAATGTAAGCACACCAGGGCTTGCTTACCCAAAATTGAATCAGGATAGAAAACAGAAAGCAAGGTGCCAACCTAGTGGCTCAGTTGGTTAAGAGCTTGCTCAAGAGTGTGAGCTTTGAGCAACAGGGTCACCGGTTCCATTCCCGGCCCAAGCTGAGCTGCCGCTGAGCTGCCAACAGGTGGCAGGAAGGCTCAACTAAAAAATCAAACAAACAAACAAAAAACAGTAGGAAAACAGAAACCGAAAGGTGTGTTTCTTCAGATGTCAGAAGAAATTCTGGATGATAAGCCAGTGACTCAGTGTTTGGGGATGAGATTCCTTCGAGCATGAGGAAGACTTTGGACCCTTTCTACCGGAAACCAGAGGCACATACGTGTCTGTGCTCTCTCCCCCTTGTTGCCTTATTACTCTCTGAAATGGTAACTCAGAGCCCTGCTGTCATTCTGCCCTCTGATGTTATCCTGGAACAGTTTTGCAAGACGTCAATACAAATCACCCATTCCCCTGCTAAAGAATTCTGCTCTGGAGGGACAACACTAGACCGATAATGGCTTCTTGCCCTATGACCCTGTTCAGACATCCCTTGCGATTTGTGAGGGGAAAGCTGTTTCCCATTTCTTCAAAGCTTTAAATGCAGAGTGGTGGTTGGATGTCCACGAGTGATTGATGGGGAGGCCTTGAGGGATGAGGAACTGGAGACAGGGTGTGATGGATGCTACTGCCATTAGACAAGAGCCAAGTCGGCCCATAATGGGTCAGCTGGGGGTGGGGGTCCCACCTTACTCCTGCCCTGGGTCTGCCCATGTCTGTCAGCACCCTTAAATATAGCTCCTGCTTTGGCACCTAAGAGTTGATCAAGAGGCAGCAGAATTCAGCAAAGTAAATACTGTGCCTGTGAGAACAGGGGTGAGTGGGAGGTGGGCACAGAACTGTACTTTGTTGAGTTATATGAGGGGAAGAGCAAGGCTTTGACTGTGGTGGTAGCAGTAGCAAAAATTATCACCGTCATCATCTGTTGGTTAAAGGGAAGGGTCCTGGGTCTATCTACAGCAAGGGAGATTTTGCTCCCCAGGAGACATTTGACAATGTCTAGAGATATTTTTGATTATCTCAACTGAGGGGTAGGGTGCTACTGGCATTTAGGGGGTAGAGGCAAGGGATGCTGTTAAAGATCCTACAATGCCCAAACAGCCCGCCATGCTAAAGAATTATCTAACTCAAAATGTCAGTAATACTGAGGTTCAGAAACCCTGTCCGAGGCTAATTTCCAGCTCGGTATCTGTCGATATCACTCCTTTGCTGCAGTGCTAAGGTGGCTATGGAGAGAATACACCAGAAAACAAGGAGGGATGTGACTCCAGGTTTTCATTTGCTTTTGTTTCATTGCCTTTTAATTAAGCCCTGAGTAGCATCCTGCAAGGATGTGCCTGGTGTACTAAATCCTAAGATTCTCTCAGGGTGGGCAGAGGTGCTTGGAGCTTGGTGCCCCTGCTCAGGGCTTGCCCTCAAGCCAGCCCTATGGGTATAGTTGGCCCCTCTGGCTCTGTGTCAGATACTCCAGCACTTTCTACAAGGTAGACTCTCAGACAGATGTGGGCTTGCTTGGGGGAGATAGTGAAGCTTGTTTTCTTCCTGCCCTTTGTTTCTAACAGCTGGAAGCTGAAGCCACTCACCGAGTTATCACCATTGCAAACAGGGTAAGTAGACCCTGGCTCGCCCTAAGCCCATTCTTGAATCTGGGATCAGAAATCAACCTCTCCAGTGGCGTCCCATTCTGCTGTGAGTGCCAGCTTCATGCCTGGCTCAAACTGTTCGCTGAATGAACGCTGTTATTCCCCCAGACCTGGCAGGGGTCCTCCCTGCCACCAGCTCTCCATTCCACCCCACTGAGCCTGGTTTCAGAGCTCAAGTGGAAAAGGCTCGCAAGGGAGACCGGGCAAGGTGGGGCACACAGAGCCTCGCTGCAAGTGGAGTCTGCTTCTTGTAGAGGGATAGGTAGACACTGCGCTTAGAGAGCAATGATTTCAACCTCTGCCTCTGGGCCATTCACAATTAATCCTTGGTGTGGTCCAGCGTAAAGCCCTCTCAGGGTCGGGGCATTGACGCATGTGGTGCTGGGAACGAGCAAGAGATGTGGGGCCTTTACCAAATACAAGCTTTCGATCATATGCAAGTCACTCAGCCACTGATATACTATTGCATTACCGAACATTGGAAGGATACTATCACTCACTTCTCACAGGGTGGTTGTGAGGATCAAAGGAGTCATGGAAGGAAAAGCACTTTATAAACAGAGCGCTGTACGAAGGTCATTCATTTCTCTTTCTAACATCTTCAAAGAGTTTGATTTGCTCAGATAATCTGAAGTACCTCCTCTAGAACACCAGTTTTCTGAGTGTGGTCCCTGGCGGCGGCGGCGGCATCACTTGTTAGAAATAAGAACATAGAAATGCAAATTCTCGGGCAGACCTATTGAATCAGAAACTAGGGTGATGCCCAGCAATCTGTGTTTTAACAGACCCGCCAACGATTGTAAAGGCACTAACGCTTGAGAACCTCTCCTCTGGCAAGACCCCGGCTACCCGGGAGGATGTAAGCACAAGGGTGTGGTGGTAGAAACACAGAGAGCTTGGAGGTCCAGCTGGTTTCAGAATTAGTCAGTAAACTTATGTCAAGCACGTCAAACGTCAGGCCAGCTCCTAAACCCTCGGTCCTCGTAATGAGATAAACAAGGAAGGCTTCAGAAGAACATTTGGGAAAACAGTTTCCCATTAGCAGTTGATAAGCTGGGGGCTGGACAAGGTCATTGTTTCACTGTCATAACCATTGTTATGTTATTAGTTACTTCCTGATGGAAAGTTTCCCCGGAATAAGGAAGTGTCTGAACAACAAAAGGTCACCCCTGTTTTTTAGCTCCAGTATATGCCCAGAGAACGTAAACCACAGACCATGGCTCAGTAGAGGAAAAGCTAATCAATATTACAATCCAGGCGTCCATTTGGAAGACCGGCCCGGTCTGGCGTAGACTCTGAACCCTGAACCCCTTGTATTTTCTTTGCTCCAGGGTACATTCTGTCTACTGATAATGCAGCCCTCAGATGGCAGGCATTGTAATTTTAGATATGGAATATAACACACGACTATCTCTAAGTCATCACATTCATGAACAGGAAATTAAAGTAGTACCTTGTTTTAAACTATAAATAGCCTTTTGTGGGTTTATAGAAAATGTGAAGTTCAGCTCTCAGCATCTTGCCCCATGTTCCCCTGTTGGGCTCTGGTGCTGGGTGCTCCTTGCCCCACGAAGTTCCCCTGCAGCTTGTGGCTCTGGCTGCCAGTCCCGCACTCCTAATGGAAGACTGTCACCTTGAGGGTAGGGCTGAGTGATGCAGGGAGAGGGGTTGGGGCCAGGGTTGATTTGACCAGGGGTTATGTTGGTGCATGTGAGGTTTTTGGGGTTGATGCTCTCTCCTTCCTGTCATGTTTCTGTGTTTAGACTCACTGTCCGATCTATCTGGTCAATGTGTCCAGCATCTCGGCCGGTGATGTTATCGCAGCTGCTAAGATGCAAGGTGAGTCCTTGGCAAGGAGAACAAAGGATCAGGGATGGAAGGGCATGTGTGTGGTGGGATTGGACCCCCGATAGGGCCCACTAGCTCCGTGCACTTCCTGGCCCAGGGTCCTGAGGCCCAGCCCTGAGCCTCCCCTTCTCCTTCTCACCCTGTTCCCCAGAAGCACCCTGCACTAGCCTGGCTTCAGTCCATTAGAACCAGAATGTTTTCCTCTGCGCACTTGTATGCATGACAGCTTTACAGAAGTGTCTGTCACCGCTCCTAGGTCTGGCAAAATTGTGCAAGTTTTCAGTCAACTCATTATTTGGGATCTTTCTGGCCTCTTGGGTTTTATTAGTAGTTGCCTTGGTAACCAACATGAACTCCTGGACCAGTTCCAGTGGACATTTCAGGGGATGCCTGGGACGTCCCTGGAGAAGTGACAGTGTGTGGACCTAACTTCCCTCACCGCCACCTAGAACCCTGTGTTTGAGCCCCGGGCACCTGTGTGTCTACTGTTGCTGAGCACCTGGCAACACCTGAAGGCTTTGTACTTGCTTGTAGTCCCAGCCCTGCTCAGGGTGCCAGTAAGTCACGGTCACAAACCTGAGGATAGAAACAGGAGCAAGAGCCCCCAGCCTTCCCACCATACTGCCCTCTGGACCCCGCCTCCTGACTGGACTCCACCTCCATCTCCCTGCCCCCTGGCTGTGCTATGGATCCCACCCCTAGCAATTCTCCTACAGGTGCTCACAGCCCAGACTGCCCCCTTAGCGTGTCGTTCACAGCCCTCCATCCTCCCCTTAGCACCCGTGCTCCAGCTCTACCTCGGGGCCGTTGCCCTTCAGTTCTCATTGCCTAGAGTCGGTATGGCGATAGGGAACACTGGCCTTGAACCCAGCTGTGATCTCAAACCCCTGCGTGAGCTTGGGCAAGTCCCTTCCTCTCTCTGACTTCACCTCCATCACTTGTCAAATGCGAGCCCCAGACCAATGATCTCGCAGGTTCCCTGGCTTCCCAGTTATGGTTTGACGCTTCTTCTTCCAGGGAAGGTTGTGCTGGCTGAGACCACCACTGCGCACGCTACCCTGACAGGCTTACACTACTACCACCAGGACTGGTCCCATGCCGCCGCCTATGTCACGGTGCCTCCCCTGAGACTGGACACCAACACCTCAACCTACCTCATGAGCCTGCTGGCCAAGTAAGATGTTTCAGTAGGACCGCTGTGCCCCCATAGCACGTCATTAACTCATAATGCATGCCATTTTAGGAATCTGTAGATCCTGAAGGTGATGTAGAGGCCCCCAATCTAACCTAGGTTTGATTTCATTGTGCCCAAAGGATGATTTTGCTTTTGTTACCCTCTCCAGAGCCCAACAGATAATTGCCATCCCATTGGGCCCCCATGACCACTTGATCTGGAGCAAGAGCTTCTGAGGTATCAGAGTAAAGAGCATATATAAAACGGTGAATGGTGGTTATTCAGAATTTCAAAGGACATTGATATCTTACACTAAAGACTGGAACTATAGGATGTGGTCTCTGGCTTATCCTAGAATACATGTGGACCTTTCTATCGCTTCTTTTTCTTTACCTCTCCCTCTTCTCATTGTTTCACATGTGTGTACCTCCTTATGTGTACCTCTCTCCTGTACCTTTCTCCCTTCTTTCTTTACCCATCCCCCTTTTTTCTTCTGCCCTTTCTCTTCCTTTCTCCTCATATTCTCCCTCTAGACCTCTTCTCCAGCTTCACTTTTTCTAACACTGCTTTTTTCCCCATTTGATCCAAATCTAAAGGAGATGGTTTAATAAACAGTCCGGATTTGGTGGGAAACAAACACAAAAGATTTTGTTTTGTCCCAATAACTGCTTGCAACTTCTTTCTTTGCTCTAATGACGTTTTGGGTAGAGGCCACTGCTTTCCCTTTCCTTTAGGTTATTCAAATCCAGTTCAGTTTAAGTCAGCCTCTTCCCCTCCCCACCCCCAGCTCAGGGATGCGAGACAGGAGAAGATTAGGAATAAAGGGGGCAGGGTGATTCTTCTCCATACCCAAGCACATTAGTTGTTGCTGCTTCTCAGGCTAAGTCACTGGCCTTTGGGGCCCTCCTTGTGCAGGGCACATGCCCAAGGTGGGCTCTCTTGTGCAACCCTCACACAATGCCCTGATGTAGGAAATGGATTCCAGCTTGGCCTCTTCTTCCTGCACCTTCCCAGCTTCCAGAACTAGCAGTGTCCCTGTGAACAAGGACCCTGACAAGGCAGTTTTAGCCTGGCAACCTTCTGCGGTGTCTGGGGCCCAGAGGAAGCTCACACTGCTTAGCCACTCCCTGCGGTGGGAGGACAGGCTGTCCCCATGCCACTCGCCCAGCGGCTCAGAGGCAGGCCCACCTCCCAGGCAGATGCCCACTGCTATCACCACTGATCTCCACAGGGGAACCTCTTGAAATGTCCCCTCCTTGACTTTGGGGTAGACTGGTGCGGGAGAGAGGGAAAGAGGAAGGACAGAAAGACGACAAGACTCTCCATCCTGCCCCCACCCCCCTCCCTATATTCTGCTTTTACAGACCTAGGGCTGGTGATATGCCTCTTCTAGGGTGATTGGGGTGGGGGGTGTTGCGGGAAGTGACCAGCCCCAGTTGAAGGTGGCTGTCTGTAGATACTGGGACACTTATTTATTTATTTTTTAAAGATTTTTTATTTTATTGGGGAATTGGGGGAAGGGGAACAGACAAGTTGCTGTCGTTTTGTTCTTCCCAGTCTAGTTGTGGAGGACGTTGCTTCACTGGCCCAAGTTGACACCATCATTGCGCTCTTCCCGGGTGAAGCAGATCAGTCGCCGGCTTCTGGATGGCCGCTCACAGTGGCTGCTGGCCGCTCACGCTGGCTGCTGGCTACACACGGTAGCCCATGGCAACCCACTGCAGCAGAGGCTGCAGCCTACGCTGTCACTGGCGACTCACGGCAGCCCAGCTCCAGGTTGAGCTGTTGTTCAGCATCTTAGCTGTAGAGGGCAGTGTCACTGGCCCTCATATGTGGGATTTGAACCAGGGCCCTCTGGCGTCCCAAGCCAGCTCTTAACCAACGTGCCACTTGGCCGTCCCACTGGGACACTTATTTTATCCATGTCCTCAGTTTTCAGTCCTGGCTGCCAACAACTGGAATATTCCCACTCCACATCCTGCTGTGTCAACACCTTAAAGAGCAGTGTGGGATGTGGGGACTTTCCAGATACAAACGGAGTGCAGTCAGTAGGGTCCCGGGGTAAATGTGGCCCCTGGAGGTGGAGGTGGCACAGTGACAGTAATTATATTCTGTCTTGTAGTTTTGCTCTGTTACTAAGCATCAGCAGCTCTCAAACAGATTGCAGTATATTGAGAGAGTAACAAAGGATGAAGGGAGAAATGCTAGATCAGCTTTTGCTTTTAAAAATGCTTTTCATTGGGAAAAACCATCATTATCAACACAACAAAACAAACAAGTATCAAGAACTAATAATTTGGACTCAGTTCCAAGGTCAAAGAAGCTTTTGAAATACTTCTGCTTGCCATAAGTAAATTTACTGAAAGAATAAAAAGGTAGTAAATGCTCCAACCCACCCAAATTACAGTGCCCAAACCCACACAAATGCAGATAGGCCGGGGAGAGTATTATTGAGTAATTTGAGTTTTTATATCTAACTTATTTTGTCAAATTATTTAAATAAATTCTATTTACTTAAATAGAATTGTAATTTCATGTGAACTATTATGAGAATAGTTTGAATCCCTTTTTTAATCAGTGCATATGGTACATGTGCACAATTTTATAGAATTTGGAGCATAGTTTTAACATTTTAGTTCTTTATAGGAATTTATGATTACTGTAATTTTGCTTTTATGACACATCGTTGGTGATAACTGATATTATGCAAGACACGTGATTAAAAACCCAGACACCAATTATCATATTCCTATAAGAAAATATGAGCTGCTTCATAATGATCTACTTTAGGATATGATTTCTTAGGATATATCAGGGTAAAGAATACAATCTACAGATGTAAGGATTTGTCCTTTGTTTAAAATCTGACTTCTTAAAAGGATCAGAAGTTTTCTCATTTGAACATATAAAATTTTAAAGCACTTAACAAAGCTGGTCGTATTTTAAACTTGAAAGAGTAGGGAAGGGTATTTCATGTCTCCCAGATTCTGGGCAGAACTGGGAGACCTCAAAAGCCCTTCTGGAATGTGACCACACCCATTCACACCTGCCCGGGAGGCACCTACTTTGTAGGACCCTTTTTAGAAAAGTGGGTGCTCAGGACAACTTGTCGGTTAAAGAATGGGAGTTGAGCAAGTTGCTCCCAGAGTCCCTGACCCTCAGCCCATGACTGATCTGAGCCCTGCCCAGGTATCTGGAGGACCCCTAAGGAGAAAGTGAAACCCTAAAGAGTCTGTTCATCTCTGGTGGGTTCTGCAGGCCCGGGGAATGTGGGGAGCCCTGGGGGACCCTAGGACAAACCATCTGCTCTGTGGAAGAGTCCCTCCGCAGGCTCTGAGAGGGCCCAGAGCAGTCAGTGTCTTTGGCCCAGATAGATATCAGCCCATGCCACAGGAATAGCTAAGTCATCTCACTGTGGATTTGTTCAAGGATATTAGTCATTTGGCAAAAGCTGTAACTGATGAGTCCGCAGGCCCCCAGTGGAGACAGCCCTCCAGGCAGCCTGAACCAGAACATCTGAGAGCTTTACAAATATGCCTCTTGGGCCAGCTGAGTGGCTCGTTGGTTAAGAGTTGTTGGCTTGGGAGCGTGAGCTCTGAGCATCAGGGCCACCAGTTTGGATCCCACATGGGCCAGTGACGCTGTGCCCTCTACAGCTAAGATGGTGAACAACGGCTCAACCTGGAGCTGGGCTGCCATGAGTCGCCGGTGACAGCGTAGGCTGCAGTGGGGCTGCAGTGGGCTGCCATAAGCTACCTTGAGTGGCCGGCAGCCAGCATGAGCATCCAGCAGCCAGCACGAGCTGCCGTGAGCCACTGTGAGCGGCCGTCCAATGGCCAGTGACCAATCTGCCTCAGCCAGAAAGAGCGCAATGATCACAATACAAAAATGAGCCAGTGAAGCAACATCCTCCACAACTAGACTGAAGAACAAAAGGACAGCAACTTGTCTGTTCCCCTTCCCCAATTCCCCTTCTGAAGCGGGCATCACAGATGGCCCACATGTACTCGTCAGGCTTTGGTGCCTCCTACAAGTAAAATTAGACTCTCAGGGCCCCCACTATGTGGTCCCCCTCTCCCACATGACCACCCGTGCTCCAGCTGGGACCCTTCCTGCCCTCCCACGGTGTTTCCTCTTGAGGTTGTCCTGGCCTGGGTGACATGGGCAGTCTCTCCCCTCCACTCCTCACCACCTCTGAGCCTACAGAGATCTCTGAATACAAGCCAGCTGTCTGCCTCCCTCATTAGGCACAGGATCTGCCATGTGCAGTCTCTCACCGCCAAAGTCTCTGCCCTGAGTTCTTAGCTAGCCCAGGAGCCTCTCAAGAGCACAGCCATGCCTTAGCCACCTACAGCCTTACATGGAGCTGGCCTCTAACCATTTGAGGACAATGGTCATGGATGGCAGTGGCGATAAATCAGTTGAGTTGCATACTATTGCTGGTTTATTGAGACAGACTTCTCTTCTCTCTTGTCTCTCCTTCCCCTTTCTTGGCCATTAGAGCCCCCACGTCCAAGGAAAGCTATGGCTCCAAGTTATTTGCAAAGCTCAACATTGAACTTGTGTTCTACCAAGCACATCCTTGTTGCCAGCAGGGACTGGTGGGGGTTGAGGGCGATGAGAGGGACTTTACATATGATTCTGTGGTAGTAAAACTACCGCCACCCTCTCACTTTAGCTAAACTCTTAAGTTCAGTTTTTCCCTGCCCACTATCTTAAGTCTTAAAAGCCGACATCCTGAAGACTCGATGTCTCCTGTGACACACAGTCTGTGCCATCTTCAGCACATATCCCCATTCTGCTGATGAGTAAACTGAGGTTCTCACAGATTAAGTTACTTGTTAAAGGTCGTACAGCTACTAAGTGGCAGAGCCGAGACTGAAATCAGCTTTGTCTGGTTCATAAGCAAAGGCTTTTTCCCTGTACCTGTCCCCCTTCTGGGACCCTGGCCTCTTTCCCTCTACTGGACACGTCCTTCTCTCTACCTAGTGATACTCTGAACATTGTGGCGTCAGATCACCGGCCTTTCACAACAAAGCAGAAAGCTATGGGCAAGGAGGACTTCACCAAGATCCCGCATGGAGTGAGTGGCGTGCAGGACCGCATGAGCGTCATCTGGGAGAGAGGCGTGGTACGTTCTCGGGACCCCCTCCCCACTCTAGTCCTAGTAAGAGTTTTCACCCTTAGGAGGTTTGGGTCAACCACAGCTCCTTGTTTCTCAAAAACAAACATAAAAAGGTCTTTTTCCCCATGATCAGAAAGGTGATAGGACTAATATAGAAATTTGGAAGATACAGAAAAATATTAGGAAACAAAAATCCCCGTAACTCCATACCAAGAAATTAAACTGCTAATGTTTTGATATGTTTCCTTCTAATTCTATGTGTGTCTTATACATTATTTTAATATCTGGATTCATCCTTTTTTTTCAAAAAACTATGTATCTTAAGTGTCTTCCTATATCAGTAAAAATCCTTTAAAACCCTCTTTTAATGGATAAATAATATTTCCTCCAATGGACATACCATACTTCAATTAATTCTTTCCTGATGTTTGGAACTTTCAGCTGTTTCAAATTTTTGCACTTACACATAGTGCTGCCGAGAACCTCTTTGTTCATGAGTAAATGTCAGCATTTCTAATTATTTCCTGAGGACAGATTCCTGGAAGTTGATTTCTGGACCAAGGGATTAAACATTTTGAAGGCTTTGATATAGTTTGTCCAATTACTTTTGAATAAAGATAGGGACTGGGGATTCATTGAATACCATCTGTTCTCTCCATAAAGAATATGTAATTTTGGTCTTAACCTACCATGGATTCGATGCAGCAGAGAGTTTGAGCGCAAGGAGATTTGACATCCTCAAGACTAGGCCTCCAGCTCAGGGAGGACCATGAGGTGGCTCGGGAATCCCTAAAAGATTCCACAGTGCTCTTATGGGTGGGTAGGTGGGTAGGGCAGCAAGATGCTTTTCCAGAGCACAGGACATGTCTGTCTGTGGATGAGGGGGCCTCCTGACTCATCCATAGTGGGCACATGAGCAGAGCTGGTATTACAATCAGGAGGTAGATTTCCACCAGGCAGGCAACCTTTTGGAATAAGGGTCCACTCACCATTGTTGTTGGATGAAGGAGAAAGGCGTAAGCAAGCACCTGGAATCACGCCAAGTCAGTTGGCTCATCTGAAATGGTGCCCACGGCATTGTCCACCCCAGCGCCATCATTCTGACCAACTAAAAGGCCATAGGCCAGGGTCAAGGGTGACCGAGGGTTGAAGGCCCATACACACAGGGGCCTGGCTGACTTTACACTTCTGCAATATTTCAGGTTGGAGGGAAGATGGATGAGAACCGTTTTGTGGCCGTCACCAGTTCCAATGCCGCGAAGATTCTCAACCTGTACCCCCGCAAGGGCCGCGTCATCCCGGGAGCCGATGCCGACGTGGTGGTGTGGGACCCCGAAGCCACAAAGTAAAGCCTGCTGCTAGTCTCCGGGGCTAGAGGACTTGGGATTTTAAGGGACTTGTATTACAGAACTCCAAAAGCATATCATCTCTGCAATGCTTCTAGCTTAGAGAAGTATGACCCTGAGGTGTGTGCAACAAATATTTGAGGGCCTCCCATAGTCCGGGCACTGGGCACACAACCGTGAACAGCTCCCCCTGCACAGCACTTTACAGTGTTTCAAAGCTGCTTCACATCAGGCATCTCATTTGATTTGGCTCACAGCCCCAAGATGCACTCAAGCCTCAAGTTCATCTTTCCATTTTGCTATTGCAGAAACTAAGACCAGAGTGTAGAGCGACTCCCCACATCACATAGCTAATAAGTGGCCAAAACGGACAGATATCCTGACTCTTGGCTCCAGGCTCTTCCACCTCTGCTTCTCTCCCTGAGGGTGTGGAACCTTGAACACACAGCGCTTGACACCCACAGCATTGATGACCGCAAGATGAGTGAATAAAATGACGTGTGTCAGGAGTGATCATGCCATAGGATGCAGAGCATCATTTTTACCTGCAGAGGAGACAGGAATCGTTTTTTTATATTAAATTTCATTCAGTCAACCAATATTTGTTAAGGGCCACTGTTTGCACTAGTTGCACAAGCTAGCAGTGAACAAAATGCACTGGGAGGTTGAAAATGAAAGGTTGGATAGCAATGCAAGTCCACCCTGTGCACCACCACCCCCGCACCACCACCACCACCCACCCACCCCCCAGTGCCAGGATCCCCACACTATCTTCTCCACTTGGGCCCTTGAGAAGCCCTGTTCTGCATCCTGACAGCAGCGGCTGGTCCCTGTCACTGTTGTGGATCTGCCCGTTACTGACTGATGCTGGCAGAAAGACCCTTTGAGTTTAGCCCAGCGTACTTGGCTGCGTTAAAAAAGACCACAGGCTAAAGGGCCTAAACAATAGAAATCTGTTTTCTCAAAGTTCTGGAGGCTAGAAGTCCAAGATCAAGTTGTGTCAGCAGGTTTTCATTCTGAGGCCTCTCTCCTTGGCTTATACATGGCCATCTCCTCCCATTGGCTTCACATGGTCTTTACTCCGTGCGGACATGCCTGCTATCTCAACTTCCTCTTATAAGGACACCAGTCAGATTGGACCAGGGTCCACATGACCTCATTTTACTTTGATTAGTGATTTAAGGGCCCTGCCTCCATATAGAGGCACATTCAGATACTGGAGGTGAGGACTTCAACATGTAAATCCGGGGGGACACAGTTCAGCCCACAACAACCAGTGGGAAGGTGATACTTCCTTCCCACTGAGCATCACCCCGTCCCATTGAGCTGTGGTATCTTTACCTCTTCTCAGCGCTTTCTCTCCCACCATTACCTCCCCACCAGGACCATCTCAGCCAGCACCCAGGTGCAGGGAGGAGACTTCAACCTGTACGAGAACATGCGCTGCCACGGTGTGCCGCTGGTCACCATCAGCCGGGGGCGGGTCGTGTATGAGAATGGTGTCTTCATGTGCGCTGAGGGCACTGGCAAGTTCTGTCCCCTGAGGTCCTTCCCAGACACTGTCTACAAGAAGTTGGTCCAGAGAGAAAAGGTAAGATGAAGGAGGGGGAAGATGTGTGGGAAGAGGTTGAAGCTCCTTGCCGGGGACATCTCATATGACTTTTAAATCTCAAAGATGTTCTCACTCTATTTTCCCACTGAATCTATTGCCTGGAATGGTCACTTTGGGAACAAGAAATAGTAGGAAAGGAGCACCTATAACAAAGTAAAATGTATTGGGAAGGTTCCCCAACTCCTCTGGGGCTGAGGGAGCTTGTTCACAGCTGTCCCGACATCTGGTCTCTAGGAGGATTCTTGCCATCCCTGAGGGCAAGGGGCTCCCAGTTTGTCCTGAGCTACCATATTTGCCTGGAGCAGCTCTTTCTGAAACCCACCCTTTCCCTGTGACTGCAGTAGGCTGGGTGGGCTTTGCTGAGTCTGGGTCCCCCAACACTGAAGCGGTCGGGCCAGGTCTAGAATAGTTCAAACCTCAAGGGTTGCAGCCAGTCCTCAGTAAGCACCCTGGGTGTTCTCTAAAGCTTTGGGCTCCCCCTCATCCCCAGGGGCTCCCATCCCCTGGGTAGACACATTCACCCAAAAGAAGGCTGGCTGTTCCCTCATCGCTTGGGGATTGATGTCCAGCCTTGTCTCTGAGACCTGCCCTAGAGAACCTGGCCTGAATCCTTTCTGACAGCTCCAGGTGCTGGGAACTGCAGCCCTGGCCTCTGGGTGGAGGTCCCATGTCATCAGAAAAGGACAAATCTAACACATTGATAGTTGGAAGCATCTTGCTGTTTCCCCTCGCCTTTCTCTGGCCTAAAGCAATGTTATTATGGCTTCAAAATGCCCCTGCCTAGCTGTTTCCCAATGCTGTCTAGAAATGGTAAGTGTCCTTAGATATATCATAACCAAGGGCCAGGGGGGTCCCAGCCCTCACTGGGTCTAACAGCTCTCTCCTTCCCAAGGTCTGGGATGCCAGCCGTGTAATCATGGCACACTTAAGAGATAACGAGCCTTTTAAAAAACTGTTTTTTAATTTCCACACCCAGCTTCTGCCGTGTCCCATTTCTTTGTTCTTTTTGCCCAGTACGTGCCAATCCTCTATACCCAGCCATGTACTGGAGGTAGGAGCAGTGAACGTTTCTGGGTGAATCAGGAAAACAGCAGTCTGGCCTTGGCAGTCAGTTGCTTCACTCTCCAGGGAGGGAGACCCAGTGAAATAGTCTGTGTTTTAGCCTGAGGCTCCAGGTAGCAGCTCGGGGTGGGGGGCTTTTTCTGGGCCCCTCCCAGGTGACCTCGCCACTCCACCTCACCCCCATATTGTGATCACTCTCCCAGATCGGCATCAGCTTCGCATTCCTAGGTCCCACGCTCTCTACTCATGACCAGCTCTGGCTTCTAGCAGGGGACCAGAGATTTAAAGGACTTGACTGAAAATACACTTAGCTGCCATATTACTGAGCTCTAGATCTGCTTGGTACTATCGCAGGAATAAGCCTTATCAGAGCTACCTCTGTCTTGGCACACTTGCCATCAAGTGGTCACATGCCCTCTCCTTCATCCAAAATGTCTTATTGTCTTAGTTCTCTAATCCTTTACGCAGAAGCCAAGCTCCTTTACTCAGTTCCTCAGGCCTCCCCTCCTTGTTCCCACCTTTGTGCCCTCCTTGAACCACCCAAAGACTTTCCGGAGTAGCTGTTTTAGCCTTTGCCCTCCCTCCAGCTGTTCTCTGAACATCCTTCACTCTTGCTGGCCTGTGAGCCCCAAACCTGGGAGGACCCAAGGACCAGAAGGAAGGAAGGTCCCATCTGGTGGGATGGAGGGCAGGCTGGCCTTCACACCCTTCACACATTCTCCAGGCCCCCTAACCAGGGCTTCATTTCACCCTGAGCATGGTCCTCAGCAGATGCCCTCTGTCACAAGTTCATTCACATGAACCACGAGTTTCTTTCCTGAACTGTGGTTGAGCTCTCCTGTGCTGAGAGAATGTGTGACGGGACAAGGGGAAGACTAGAGTCAGATAATGCTGGTTTCCATTGTCCATCTTTGATTACCAGATAGCATTTTAAATGATCAGGCAAATAGGGCGCCCTGAGTTCCCAAAGAAACAAGAGGAAAATGTGAACATGTCCGTGACCTCTGAATTCCTCTTGCTTTGCAGGCTTGGGGGCCTTGAGGTACTGCCATTGCTTGGGTCCTTCCCAGTTTTGATGAAGTAAGGGCACATAACACTGATACTTGAAAGCAATTTTCAAAAGCATAAGAGTAAACAGCATATTCACACCAAAAGATCAGCTCTGCTAGCAAGCCTTCCATGTGTGGAATAACTAAAGACCCTTCTCTCCCAAAGGCCAACAGAGAAACCCAAAGACAAGTCTGATGTGGGGGAGCAGACCTGGGTTACCTGAAAAAAGCATGACTTTAGTTATCACAGTGTTCAGTCCAAAGGAAACTCAGGGTCTCAGGTAGGCGAATGGTCCTGTCTCCAGTATACTTCCCAGATATGGACAATGGCAGGAGGCCTTTGGGGGGCATGCCAGAAAGAGCTGTAAGAGCGATGCAGTCACACACAGGAATATCTGACAAAGGGTGGCTATGAAAGAAAATGGAACATAACGTGTTGGGGAGGATGTGGAGAAATTGAGACCCTCATTCATGCTGGAAGGAATGTAAAATGGTGCAGCCACTTTGGAAAAGTTTGGCAGTTCCCAAAATGTTGGTTACCAAATGACCCAGCATTTCCACTCTCAGGTATATACTCAAGAGAAATAAAAAAGATATCTACACAAAAGCTTATACATGAAGATTTGTAGCAGCGTTATTCATGAAAGCCCAAAAGGCGAAGCAACCCAAATGTCCATCAGCTGTTGAACAGATAAACAAATTGTGGCCTATCCATGTATCCACACAATGGAATATTATTCAGCCATAAAAGGGAATGGAGTGCTAATATATGCTACATACAACATAAATGAACCTTAAAAACATGCTAAGTGAAACAATTGTTAAAAAGACCATAATATATGATTCCATTTTTATGGAATGTCCAGAAGGAGCAGATCCATAGACAGAAAATAAATTGGTGGTTGCTTAGGGCAGTTGGGAGGGGAGAATGGGAGTGACTGCTAATCGGTATGGGGTTTTATTGGGGGTATAATGAAGATGTTTTAGAATTAGGTAGTGGTGGCGGTAGCACAACATTGTGAATATACTAAACACCACTGAATTGTATACTTTAAAATGATGAATTTTATGGTCTGTGAATTTTATCTCAATTTGAAAAAAAAAACACAATATCTGACAACAGTCCTGTGACCTTCCCAAAAAAAAGGTATTTTAGTCAGCAAATAAGGCCAAAAGAGGTCAGAGAAAGTGTTTCAAGCCCTTCTAAAAGCCAACCTCATAAGAATGTAAGCTAGGTACCAGTTCACAGCAGAACCAGCCACAATGGAGGAGCACCAGCTTCTGGGATTGCTATAAATTCAACCCGGACTTCCTTTATCCAAGTCAGTTATTATAATGACAACGTGACAATGTAAGGTCCTCAAGAAAAAGTCACTTTTATTCCCTGTTCTCTGTTACAGACCTTATGTAACAGAACTAGGGTATGCAGAAAAGAAAACTATCAGAAAATCTCATTTTCCAAAAATTATAAATGAGCAGTCTCTAAGAAGCATGGGCCTCTAGGAGAAGGGCAGCTCTGGGATGGTGCCCCTCGAATAAAGCCAGGAAGCGGGGGGCTGCCAGAAGCTGTGGCCAGCCAAGATCACTCACCAGGATTCACCGGAGACCTGTGCCCTTCACCCCTGGGACCCCTGCCACCAAAGTCAGGTGCCAAAGTGCAGCCTGGCACAGGCCAAAGCAGTTCAGACCAGGTTTGACATTCCAAGGGCTGAGCTAAATGACAGATCTGTTGTTGGAGAATTCAAAGAAATATGTAGACCGGAGAGCCTTCAAGAAATCATATCATTTCTCTGAACAAGATTTTCAATAAGCATCAAGCAACAAGGAGATTGAGGTTATGCCCCAGACGAGTGCCTGGGGTGGAGAGTATCTATGTTGCTCCTTCAGACGTTATGCACACCAACACACTTCTTCCTCCTCACAATAGCCTCTTTTAATATGATTAAGCACCCTTCAATGACCTGTGCAATAGTAATAGTTGCTGGTATTTACATGTCACTTGCCATGTGCCAGAGCAGTTCTAAGAGCTTTACTTATATTATTTGATCTCATGTGAGGGGTGCTCTCTAAGGTTGAGTATCTCAGAAATCTACTACTTTGGAAAGGATTCCACTGAAATTAAAGGGGAGCCAGTAAGTATCTCCTCTATGCATGCATACATGCATACATACTTATGCACAGGTGCATGCACACGCGCACACACTCTATTTAGGAGGTACAAGAAAAGAATTCTCCATCCCCGGTGGTCAAGGTTTAGGAAGGCCTTTGTCACAGTAATTTGGGTCCCAAGCAGAATGGCAGCATCTAGAGTCCTGTCAGCCATTGAGGAGGCTCTGGTGGTGGTGTCTAGGCTGGTGATGGTTTCATCTTTTCCCTTTTTCTCCTTCTCCGTCCTTCACTAGACCTTAAAGGTTAAGGGAGTGGACCGCACTCCCTACCTGGGGGATGTAGCTGTCGTTGTGCATCCTGGGAAAAAAGAGATGGGAACGCCACTCGCAGACACACCTACCCGGCCTGTTACCCGACATGGGGGCATGAGGGACCTTCATGAATCCAGCTTCAGCCTCTCTGGTAAGAGCAAGCGCCTCTAGGACTGGCACTTGCAGCTCCACCACAGTGGGGTGGCGGCAGGAGGGCCCAGGGGCCAGGAGGTCCGGCCAAGCAGTGGAGTTTATGCTGCTTCTCCCCTCATCTTCCTCCCTCCCTTATTGCATGTCTAGTGATGAGTGCTGGGTCCCCTACTAAATACTCACAAATATTAGGGGGGCAGAAGGGCTCTCCCAGTCCCTGGGTACCACTTTAACAGGCCATGGCCTGTGGGAGAGTCTTTCCATGGTTCCTAACTTCAGATGTTTGGTCCCTTGAAACATCTTGAGGGCTCTGCACACAGCAGGTGCCCCAGAGATTACCCAGGCTCAGAAGGATTAACCCTCTCTGCTACGTGGGACTGCACCAATACCCTCTCCCCATACCCGCTCCGTGCCAGCCTCTCTGAAAGACCTGGTATTTCTCTTATTCGCTTTCCTCCTTTACCTTATCCCCACGTTTGCCCCTCTGTCACCTTTTTTTTGTTGTTTGTTTGCCAGGAATTGTATTATATATAATATATGCAGTGTGTCTCCTCAGGGATTTTATTGTCAACAACTTTTTGTATCCCACGTGCTCTTGCAGCTGTTAAAGGTAGAGGGGTCATTGCTGAGTAAATGGCAACCCTCAGTGGAGAACAAGCAGAGGTTATAGGATGCTAGTCTGCAGGCAGCTGTGATGGAAACCGAGAGCACTTGAGAGGGGTGAGGCCGGGCCTCCGTGAACGGCCTTCAGGCCTCGCCCAGGTGCAAACCTAGTATCCGCTCTGCTAGGGCTATGCCGGGGCCCAAACAGAGAGAGGCGCGAGATCCAAAAAAAGACCTTTTTAAGTTGTTTTTGAGAAATAAGGAGCTGTGGTTGACCCAAACCTCCTAAGGGTGAAAACTCTTACTAGGACTAGAGTGGGGAGGGGCTCCAGAGAACGTACCACACCTCTCTTCCAGATGACGCTCACGCGGTCCTGCCTGCCACTCACTCCCTGCGGGATCTTGGTGAAGTTCTCCTTGCCCATAGCTTTCTGCTTTGTAGTGAAAGGCCGGTGATCTGATGCCACAATGGTGTTTATAGGGAGAGATGAGACCTGCCCACAGACTGTCTTAACCCGAGAGGCAGCGGGCTAAACCAGAGGGACGCCAAGAGGACAAGGCTGCCTGCTGAGCATCTGTCCACTATGCTCAGCTGTGTGCTGGGAGCAGCTCCAAGCAGAAGTCTGTGGGTCCTGTTTAGGAGCTGATAGCCCATGAGGAGGGGTCCTCTCCGCCACTCTCCCCTTCCTCTCAGAGCTAATCTCCTGAGAGATAACTGCTCCCCCGCCCTGAGGGCCACTGCTGCTCCAACCACTGCTACTCCAGGGACCAGAGCTCAGGGTGTCAGAAAGGGATCTATGGGTGGTTGGCTTTGCCCATCCAGGAGGTGTGGACTCCCAAGGCCGCCTGGGCCTGGCCCTTGCGCAGCAGCCAGCTCCACCGGACGGGTAAGACTTCCAGAGCTGTGGCCCCACTGGCCACTGGCTTCTGCGCCCACCCAAGTTTGGAGCAGAGCCAAGACCAGGCAGAACGCCTTGCAGACTCAGCAAACATCAGGCAGCCTCCCACCGTCCCTCTGCCCCGAACCTTGCCTGTCCTCGATGAGACAAGCTAAAGACTGTCCCACTGCACTCCCTGGGGCACCAGGCCTCCTTTTCTAAGTCTTGGGATTTCAAGATATGGGGTCTTTTGGGATGTGCTTCTTAGATTTTCCAAAAGAATGGAGCCCCCTCCCTTCTCTCTCGTATTGACGGAGGCATATGTATAAAAGCCCATATGTCCAGGCTTGGGAGTAGTAAACAGGGCATAGTAGGGCAGTAAATCATGGAGGCTCTGAACCAGGAAGACCAGGCTTCAAATCCAGGTTCTGCCACTTACACATCGTGTAACACTGAGCAAGTTACTTACATTCCATGAGCCTCAGTTTCCTCATCTGTAAAATGGGAAGGAGTTGTAAGGATTAAAACAGATCATACACAGGGAGGGCCTCCCAGCCTCCATCACAAGCAGTGACTATGCTTTTATGACCCAGGCAAGAGCAGCCCAGCTCACCCTCTGCTTCCTCCCCTGCAGGCTCTCAGATTGATGACCATGTTCCAAAGCGAGCCTCAGCTCGGATCCTCGCTCCCCCCGGAGGCAGGTCAAGCGGCATTTGGTAAAGGCACTGACCAGCCCCCCAAGTGAGGATGCACTGCTGCCACCAGCCCGCACACCCTCCGGCCGAAGCTGCAGGGGCAGGAGAGGCTGGGCTGGGCAGCTCACCACCTGAGGGGCTATGGGACCCGGGGAGCCCTCCCCATGTCTGACACGTGATTCACTGTGTTTCGAGCCGACCCTAACAGGCACTTTGAGATGTGTTCCTCCTGCTGCCGTCCTTTCCTGCCCTGGCCTCATGGGGCCCAGGAAGCCCACACTATGCACAGAGCCCAACGCATAGAGCCCCGCCCAGCCCCTCCTCTCACACCTGCCTCCATGTGCTGGCTTCGGGAAAGCCCAGACTTGAGTGCCCTGTCCCTGGCTGACCCGCCAGTTGTCCAGAGCACTTTAGCAGATGTATTTTAAAAGGACTCCCTTCCCCGGCCCACTTAGGCCTCGTGGTCCCTTTTCTCAAGTCAGACAGGTGTTTGCTGCCCAGCCATGCCCAGGACACCCCGTTTTTCCTGACTCACCTCTGGCCCCTGTGTGGGTGTGGTTGGGATACACTGCACCCCTTTGCCAGCTTCTTCCTCTCCCTCCCCCATCCTCTGGGAGTCACAGGCCCAGAAGGGCTAGCTGGGCAGGGCGTGAGGCTGGTGCCAGGAGCGTGTACATGATTTTGTTTTGCACGTTTGGTTTGCGCAGTGGTTTGGTTTGACTTGTTTGTGCAACCTGTGAAAAATAACGGTGCTTTGTGTCACTAGCATAGCATAGAAACAGGAATAGATGTGGACCTTAGGAGATGCTGCACTCGACACCAACCAGACAGCCTAGGGCACAGAGGGGGTGGAGGGTAGAGGGTGCTGGGCTTATGGGCCCTTCTCCCACCTGGAGTCTTCCAGCTGCCACAGGCCTTGTCCCAGGCCCTCTTCCCACCTCTTCCCTTACATTCTGAGAGGGTGCCTAGGGTGCTGGCCCTGAAGACCTTTGGGTAGTAGCATGGCCTTTCCTATCCCTGGCCCTGGTCACTCCCAGCACTGACACACCCAGCTTCCTGTCAACTCCCCCTGCTGGACAGAGGCCCAGCTGCTCCTCCTGTGTGATTGGCAAGAGGCCTGATGCCTGCTAAGAGAGGGGGAGCAGGACTAGGGAGAGTAGGCTAGCTAGATGCCAGGGAAGGAGACCAGGCCAGCAGGACCTGGCTATAGTAGTCACATCGCTGCACAGGTGCTGTGGTCTCCTGTGGTTAGCACCGTCCCCTCACCTGCTGTAGCCTCCATCTCCTCCTACGTCCAGGGGCCCTCCCTGCCTCCAAAGCTCCAGATTTCCATGGAAATACTAGAGGCTGGGTGATGTCCAGCCACCCTGAGTGAGCTGGGCAGTGACCCAGCCACCTCCCCTTGTTAAGCCTCGTCCTCCCCTCGGGGAAGTGATTTCATGTTGCACATTCAGTTTAAGCACCCCGGGCTGCACATGGCTCCTGGACTTTTGGGTTAGTGGTCATACCTTGCACATGTCTACCGTGCTTTTCATGTTTTCAAAGCACTTCCATATACAAGTGCTCAATTGCTCCTCATGACCACTGAGCATGTATTACTCTCCCATTTCAAAGATAAGGCTCAGAAAGTTTAGACCTTCTGGCTCCAGAGGTGTTGTGATACCCTTAAGAGCTTGGCTATCTACCCCAGCTGTGGAAAGGAAGAGTGCGGTGATGTCCCTTGTAGATCCTACCTAGAATTTAACCAGTTAGAAGACTTACTCCCCTGATAGGCAGTCTGCTTTGTTTTGCACAGGTAGATAGATTTTTCTTGTAATGCATATTCACCGTTTGAGCCAGAACTAGTTACATGTTGGGGGTTTGCTATGTGGTTTGAGCTGCCTCCATATCCTTATCCCTTCATGCTCATCTTCCTCATTTAGGGGCTGAGATGACAGAAACGGTAGCCCAGGGAACAGAGGCAGCAAAGGCACTCCTGGAGGGTGGCAGCCATGGGTTCAGTGGCTAGGGATCTGGGCCTGGGGAACCATGACACTGACCCTTTGGTACCATGTATATCATCATTATCCCTTCTCAGCCCTTGTTGGGTCATGGGCCTTGGGCAGATGCCAAAGAGCCAAGCAGTGGTGGTGGCCCACGGGCAGAGCATCCCTGCTTGGGCTAGGAAAGCTTTACCTTCTCTGAGTGCCTCCGCCCGAGAGATGCATGGCCTGTGGCTCTGGGAGACCACGCCTTGGAGTGGTCCACCGTAGGCCTTTCACTTCACCCACCCCTGATCCTTACATAGACCCCACCCTTGCCCAGGAGCTTCTAGATGAAAATCAGAAGGATGTTCAAGGAACCAAATGAAAGGTCAGCCCCCACCACCCGCTCCTTGCCCCTGTGCAGAGTTCCAGCCAGCTTCATCAGCCCCGCGGGCTCCTGGTTGGAATGAAAAGGGTCTCTGGTTGCACTGAATGCAGCTCTCAAACTGGTCTTGTACTTGCTGAATAAATACTGTTGTTCTTGCCTTAGCTGCTCTCTAGGTTTGTGAGGTTAAGTTACCAGAAAATTGTGCTACTGTGTGTGCGTGTGTGTGTGCGTGTGTGTAGTGCTAGGAGTCCACAGTAGGTCTCTCTCTCTGTCAAGCCAATGGCGTGATGAGGGCTTTTCCAGCACTGACCCAGAAACCACAGAACCACGCGAAAACTCAAACCCCCTCCAGCTGCCCAGGTAGCAGGCACAGCCTGAGGTCGGGATGGAGCCCCCAGCACCCAAGTGACTTCCCCACTCTGTAAAAGTCATGGTGCTAAGATTGTGTCAACCCCAAGACAATACATGGTCCTGTGCTTTGGCCACCTGTTTGAGGCAAAAAATAAATAAAACAGCCCGACACCTTGTGTTCTGGTGCAGGTTTGTATTAAACTGTAGCTACTTCTCACTCGGTCTCAGTTGTGTTTCTTTAAAGGAGAGGAGGTTTGGCAGGAGACTTCTTTGACAGTAGTGGGGTGAAGCTAACGTTGCTAAGAAAACTCAGCTTTGGTTCTTCACTCATGTTGGGTGGCGGGTGGCAGGTGGCAGCTTCCTGGGAGGCCTGAGCAGAGTATGCAGATAAAAAAACAAGGTTGAGAGACGGGAGCTTCAGTGGCCCAACAGCTAGCAGCCAGTCCTCTCCTGATGGGAACAGAACCAAGGTTTGGGGTGCCACACTATTCAGGATGTGGTTGCTGAGGTATCTGGAACAGGGGTAATTAGGGGGAAGCATTAGATATAAAAGGGGGAAAACAGGCTTTCCCTGCCTACCCTTTGTCACCAAGTCTTTTGGCCACCATTTTGGAAACCCATAGCCCCCTCTTCACACAGTGGAACTCTTAGCTTATGGAATTCATAAAATTACAAAAGGCCATCCCAAGGCTAATGTGTCTTTGAAGGATCGACAGGCTTATTCTCTGGCTTGCCCAGAACCTCACCATTTGGATTGGCCCACTATACTCCCAAACTCCACCCACCTGCATCAAGACTCCTGCCTTCTATCTGATCGAACATTTCCACACTGAAGAGTGAGTGAGTGAAATTGTTGCTTCTAGTACTCTGGGGTCACTTGTGCTTATTTCTTAGCCTCAAAGGACAAAACCCTAATGAGGGAATTTTAGGTGGTGCAGGGGAACTTTCCAAGCTCTCATCAAATAAGTAACCCTCCTGCAAATAAGACAGGCTATGACCTAAAGAAATACCCAGAGCACTGAAGTTAGGGCCAAGCACTTGGCTGTGTGTACATGCTCTGGTGGGGTTTCCGAGCCAGACGGAAATACCATTACTTGGTTTGCAGGATGATGAGACCCTAGGATGGTACTGGGCCTACGTGTCCATGTTACCCTATTTTCCTATAACATGGGAGCACCCCAGAATTGGATTCCATGGTAAGCATTTGGATGAAAAATTACATTTGGCAGGCCATGTACATGGTATCAGATGGTTTATAAAGAAAAAATAAAAGATACCCAGGAAGACTGGATGCCTTTGATGTATGCATGTATGTATGTAATTGAGGAAAAATAAAAGACCACAGACTCGGGCCAGCCGAGTGGCACATTGGTTAAGAGTTGGCTTGGGATGCTAGCTCTGAGCAGCAGGGCCCTGGTTCGGATCCCACATTAGGGCCAGTGACACTGCACCCTCTACAGCTGAGACGGTGGACAACAGCTCGACTTGGAGCTGGGCTGCCATGAATCACCAGTGTCGGCATAGGCTGCAGTGGGCCTGCAGTGGGCTCCTATATGCTACCGTGAGCGGCTGGCAGCCGTCATGAGCAGCCAAGAGCCACCGTGAGCTGCCGTCCAGTGGATGGCAATGATCTGCCTCACCCAGGAAGAGCGCAATGATAATACCAACATGGGCCAGTGCAGCGACGTCCTCCACAACTAGACTGAAGAGCAAAAGGGCAGCAACTTGTCTGTTCCCCTCCCCCAATTCCCCAATAAACTTTTTTTTAAAAAGACCACAGACATTTAAAATCAGGCTTGACTGATTATAAGAAACTACACCTGGAGTGACCTCAACCAGCCAGCAGCTAGGCAACCATCACCCTCAATTTCTTCACTCAGAATTATGGGTTGACTTTTATATACAGGTACAACCTAACACTGAGAATTACCTTGTAGTTGATGGAGGAGGAAATCTCATGACACCCCAGGGAGGAAGAAGAAACTTCATGATACACGGGGAGAGTAGACCTTACAGTCCTAGGTTAATAGAAGGCTATTTGACAGTGTTACTGATGACACACACATTTCAAGGGCTTTTAGTGCTTTCCGGTAAACTATTAAAGGATCTAACGTTTTGTTAACACTTGATACTGTCTTATAATGAAAGCTGAGTTCTTCACTTTCTTCCCCTCGTGTATTTACAAACCACACATTTATAACTAGAGGGATCTTGTCCTGATTTGCCTAAGACAATCCTGGTTTAAGTCTGTTGCTCTAGAAAAATTATTAATAGTACTCCCTTTCATGTTCAAATATGTCCTGGTTTGGACAATAAATTACATGGTCACCTTATGTGTGCCTATATATTCATTAGGCTATTAATATGCCTGTTCAGGAGTTAAAATTTTTTCTGTCACTGAAAGATGAGGGACAAGGCATGGTGGGAGATGGGGAAAATGGGTCTGGAGTGGGTGGGGACAAGGATTTCCAGTGACAAGCCCTGAGTCTCCACACAACTGTTGGAGGCTGCATGTGTCAGTGGCTGTGGATGCAGCAGAGTGATGAAGGCCTGGGGGCACTGATGTTTTTCAGTTTAGCTTATAGATCTTATTATTCCACTAAAAGTTGTAAGTCTACCAAATTTTATCAGTTACTTTTAGGGGACTTTGATCCCATTTATAAACTTTATTGAATACCTTACATTTTAAACTACACTTTACAGTTCTAGCCAAATGAATTCTGCCTCCTTTAAAATTGTTTGAATAAATTAGAGTCTTTGTATTTTAAGGTTTCCTTAAATTTTAACTTAAAATGTCTGTCCTTGTATAGCTTTCTTTTTTTTTTTAGAACAGTTTAAATTTGTCTAAACTTAATTTTTAGAACAGTTTTTGATTTATAGAAAAATTAAAAGGTAGTACAGAGAGAGTTCCCACACATCCCACACCCAGCCTCCCTGTAATTAGAATCTTACATTAATATGGTGTGTTTGTTACAATTAGCGAACCAATGTTCTTGCAGTCTCATTAACTAAAATCCATACTTTATTCAGATGTCCTTAGTTTTTACCTAATGTTCTTTTTGTGTTCCAGGATCCCATCCAGGAAACCACAATACATTTAGTCAGCATGTCTCCTTGGGCTCCTTTTGGCTGCGAGTTTCTCAGACTCCTTGTTTTTGATGACCCTGATAGTTTTGAGGAGTATTGATGAGGTGTTTTGTAGAATGTCCCTTGATTAGGATTTATCTGATATTTTTCTCAAAAAAAAAATGGTTAGGCTGGTGTTAATGGATTTTTGGGAGGAAGACCACAGAAGTAAAATGCCCTTTTTATCACATCACATTAAGGGTATATACTATCAATGTGATTTATTACTATTGATGTTGACCTTGATCACCTAGGTAAAGTCATATAGCTTTTAAATTTACATCATTCTTTATGAGCTACAAGCTCCCGTTTGCAATATGCAACTTCCTTAAACAACTGAATACTTATACTATGTATTATTGTACTAAAATTTGCAGATATTTGCTAAATGACTCTCCCAGTTAGGAATGTTTTTATTTCATTCAGTATCAGTTGTGAAATCTTTAATTTGTGCATGGGAGATCAAGAAGATACCAGTATCTTAGAATGCCACATGATTAACAAGAAATACATAAACACAGGCTTTATCTAAAATCCTCTTGAGGTTTTATCTAAAATTGTCTTAATTCTTGATGCATGGGTCAAAATTTAGGCATTTACACACACACACACACACACACACACACAATATTTTTATATTCACTACACAACACCAACTTTTTTATTTTTATAGTTTTTAGCTTTACACAGATACACTCAGGCTGTCATACTGTCTTTCCAGTTTGAATGACACAAATGTGTTGACTATTTTCCTCGAAATGCAAATGCTTCACATGTTTACTAGTAAAAGTAAACAATCATTCTTGAGACCCTGAGCTTTCTGAACACTCTTTTTCTTTCTGCAGACCAACAACTTATTATGTGAATTATAACCCTCCAAGCCCTTTTGGGGGAAACAGATTCTCCACCTGTAAATCAAAGATTACCGCAAAGAAAAACAGTTGCTCACAGTTATGCATATTTAAATTTCATAGTCTACTCAGTGTTTCTTGCTTTATTAGAATTATTGGTTTTGAGCTATCCTCTGAAGTTTTGCTGTCTAGGCTTATCTTGAGGGGGGTTATTCCCTTTTCATCACTTCCCAAAGACACCCAGTTTCAAGACACTGGAGCGGGTTTTTTTCAGTAGACTAGTCTTCTCCTGGGGTTAGCCTTCGATCCTTTTACTGCTGTGGGAGCCACAGCTCCTGGGGAATAATGTCTTTAGGGGAAGATCATGTAATTTTGAGCCCCGAGGGAAAGGAGACTTCAGTGGCAGGGCCTTGAGGGTCTGTTTCTGTCTCAGTTTCTTCCAACAGAAGAATTCCTGGTGTCCACAGAAGATCTGGAGGCGCCATCAAAGGTGTTTTAGCACTAGATGCCACAGGATGCGGTTGCTGAGGTTTATTCAGACACTCCATTTTTCAAAGGCCAGGCTTTCATAGGTAAATTTTCCCCAGGGTGGGCTGATGTAAAGGAAGGGCCAGTATCTTCTCTAAGTTGTAAGGGTTTGAGCTTGTGCTTTAACTTTACTTTGCTGTCCAGAAGATGGTTTCATAATTCCTGGGTTAACTATATGAGGAGCTATGAAAGGATTTTGCTTTTCTTTTGTAACTCTCACTTTTTCATAGCTATCACATTTTCATCTGGCATCATGGTCACAGGAACTATCAAGATGAGATTGTAATTTTGGATGTCTCTGCTATGTCAGTTCCATTTTTTAAACAAATTCAATGAATTGGGGTTCATTATGTTTTCAACATGATCTGAGCAGAGGTGGGGGCTCCCTTCCAAATCCTTGAGCTGAAATAACCCAATGGTTCTCAACCTGGGGTGATTTTGTCCCCCATGAGACATTTGGCAATGTCTGGACACAATTTTTGGTTGTCAAAACTGGGTGGGGGGGTGCTACTAGAATCTGATGGGTAGAAGTCAAGGATGCTGCTAAACATCCTACAATGCATACGACAGCCCCCCTCCACCCCCAACCCCCCCACACACAATAAAGAATTGTCCAACCCAGAATGTCAGTAGCACCATTGAGAACTCCTGGTTGGGTGAAAACAGGACATTCAATCATTTTAAGAAATAATGTGGGAAAATTTTAAGATCT